ATTTGTCCAAGTTATACCATTAAAATTGGCACATTTTATTAAATTAAATCTCAACAAGCTTACTGAAAATGTAAATCAACATATCCTGTGGACATTTGGCAATACTGGAAAGTGAAAATTATGTATGTATTTGTATATGTAAAATGGCAGAGACACATACACACATATGAAAAAATTATCTAGCTACTTTGAATTTTGAGCTGCTCATGTGACAATACTTATGTCACAAAGGTTATCTAAGCTACTTGGTGGAATAGATTTGAGTTTTGGTATTTTTGCTGAACAACCTGCTAAGTTCTAAACCAGGTATTTTTCCTTATTTTAGAAGGACAGAGGAAATTCTAAGCATGTTAATTAAATATGAGAAGGGGATCAGGAACTAGTGAAAAGGTCAGTTAGAGATGAATCAACTTGGGATGTAATACATTTGTACATGAAAGCAATGCTAGGAATCTCTCTGTATAGCTATCCTTATCTCAACTAGCAAATGCTTTGTCTTTCTTTTATTGCTTATATTTTCTCTTCAACAAAATTAGAGATAAGGGCAAAACAGATTCTGCCTGGAAGCAAGGAGGGGTGGGGAGGAGAGGGAGGGGATGGCGGGTAAGGGGGAGAAATGGCCCAAACAATGTAAGCACATATGAATAAATGAATTGAAAAAAAAAAAAAAAAGAATGTAGGGCTGGCAGATTGGTTCAAGTGCTAGAGGACCTGGGTGGTCTGCCTAGCTAGCAAGTACAAGGCCCTAAATTCAACCTCCAGTACTGCCAAAACTGAAAAACAAATAGTATGTACTCTGTTAGCTGCTCTGTAGGACACAGGTTTTAAAATACCATCTTCATCCCTTTAAACTTAAAGAGTCTACAATATGCTAGGGTATGAATTGGTGGAAAATAGGTACACAAATGACTCTAGTAAAATAAAAATGTAAAAATATCCAAAAGAGAGTATAAAATAATGTAGAACTAGAGTTTAAGCAGAAGAGAAATCTTCATTTGGATGTGTAAATTTTCTCATTATTTGGGGAAGGACTGGGAAAATATTACTAGAAGGAGCTCAGAGAGCAAAGCTACAGAGATGAGAATTAACCAGGAATACCTCAAAGGGGAAGAAAAATTGGAAAGCCAGTTGGGGTCCCAATATATTCTATAGCTGGTTGAAAACTTCTTAAGGCTTTTGAAAAAGGCAGTAAATGACAAGGGCAAGTTGCACATCTAATCTAAAAGTATTTGTAGGGTGAAAGGGTGTGGGTGAACAGCAGGAGGAAGAGACATAAGTTAAGAGGTCATTTCAATGGTGCAGGTGAGAAATGAAGATGCCTGAACATGGTAGTTTGTGGTAGATAAGAAAATACATTTGTGACCAGGTAAGCAAAAAGAATCTCAGGACCAACTTTATGTGGGTAATGGAGAACAGGAAGACTGGACATAGGGATTTAATGTGTGTTTCTCTTCCAACTCTGTATGATGACTGACAAAGTCTACTTCCATGTCCATATGAATAATGGGCCATTGCAGAACCATGTGCAATGTTGCTGATATGGAGCTCCCATCATCCAATCAGAACACTAATATCCAGTGAATTGCCAAAGGAAGAACAGGGATGATCTTTAGAGAACTTGACTTGGAGTTGTGCCTTTCCCAGAAATTTGAGGAGGCTTTAAGTGAGTGACTCTTACCACTGAGGTTTTGGACTCCCATTAGTAGGAGAGATAAAAACCTCTATCTGGGCTTAATGATCGTGGACATTTGTGAGATCCACTCAGTGCTTTGGAAACTGATAAGTTCTGCCCAAAGAAGAATTACGAATAGTACTTACACTTGCATCCTCAAGCCATAGCTTCCATTCTCATCTTCACACATAATCTAGTATTAGCAACTGACCAGGGTTATCTATCTGCATCTAACCCTCTGCCCACCCTAACCATCTCTTCTTTATTGTTTCTCTAATTTTAGAATTGAGAGATATTTAGCACAGGGATTACCACCCAGATGGTTCTCTTTAATGTCACCAATTCTTTGCAATGCACCCAATATCAATGTCCTTATAATAAGTTAAAGAAATGTAAATATCCTGATATTACCAGAAAGTAAAAATGCTACTTTGTCAACATTCTGAAATGTTTCCTTAATCTGAACAGAAATTACATGTCTGGGAGTTCCTTCAACACTGATTCTAACAGTTCTTTCAACCATTACATATCCCTGCAAACCCCATATCCAAATGAAAAGACATCATCTGTTCTCATGCTAGAGAAGAAGCACTTTGTTAGATTTAATGAAAAATGGTTTGTTGATATTTAAGGACTCACTGTCCTGAAGGATTTTCCAAGGAAATTTTAATAACAGGTGATTTTAGAATTTAGCCCAACCTCTACATTAGGTGGAATAAGTCCTTCGACTTCCTTAGCGAGCAACAGCACCAGTGCTTTCATGCACTTTGTGGTAAATATTTGTCCCCACACTATAGCTGAGGTGACCTAGATCCTGTTTCATGATAAGGAAATGGGTGCCAAAGTTGTTTTGCCACTGAAGACTTCACTCATGACTGGCCACCAGGCCCAAGCTACCTTATATGAACATTACAGAAAATAGATATCCACAGTCATAAGGATGTGAAAATGTACAGGACAAAAGTTCTGGGAATAATCCAGAAACATGGAATTAATATTAGCTTGCATAAATTAGCACAAAAAACTGACAATATCTTTAAGAGGATTTTCAGCCCTAAGGGAAAATTTTCCCTTATAAAGAATTGCTTATAACAATATTTTTCAAGGAACTCAGCTCAGATGGTACAGAAAGCACATTGTGGCCTATTGTAGTATGCAAATTCACTGCTCAGTACATTACAGGAACACAAAAATAATCCCGATCCCACAATCCTTGCAGGGTCTGATTTTGTCTTTATTTCTCCTTCCCTTCTTCTCTTTAATGCATTAGGCAATGTAGGAAAATTAAAGCAGCTACTCTCAAATACAAGGGAAGTTCATTTTTTATTTTTAAAAAACTTTTTTTCATAATGGGTTAAATTCTAGAATCCCCAGAAATTCTCAACATGCACAACAGTTGTTGTTATAAGGCATGAAGGTAATTTTCCATAAGGTGACTTAAAAATTAGAAACAAATAGAAGCCCACGGAAAAGCTAAATAGCCCAGACTTGGCAATTTTTCAGAGCCTGGAAATTTCCAAGCCCTTTGCAGTCATTAATTAATTAGTGAAGATGATGTTCCACTTCACTGAGGTAAGAAACGTGACATGAAGAGGTCTAGAGGTTTTCCTCAAAGTGAAAAAGGAATGTCAAGGAAGGCTGGGAATAAGAATTAGGAGCTCATTTCTCAAGTTAGTACATCATTAATCTAAATAGAGTTAATATACAGACAGTAAGAGCCTCTGTGCACAGGTGCAGTTGAATTCAGCAGTGTTCTACTCAAAGACCAACTGTGAAGAGCCCACTCTTTCTTTAACCAATGCCCTCCTCCACCAACAGAATATATCACGTAGCTTAATCAGTCTCTTCTCCAGACACATGGGCAAATATCAACCTCTAACCACTCTCCTAATAATCACAGTGAAAAGTACACGATTTGATTTTCATTTTTAAAATGCCCAATTGAATATGATGAGAAAACACATGATACTGTTGAAAAACAAGTATTTCCAAAATTTAAAAAATGAAGTGAAATTCACTGGCATCCCCAAAATGTGATAACATAATAGACTGAATACCTTACTCAAATAAGAAGCAAAATAAAGTTTCATTACTTGTGTTGAGTGGTTAATAAAAACTCATTCCATCACCATAAGTAGGTTGGTGAAGACAGATCAATGCTGGCCATGTGACTGCACCCAAATTCTTAGATCCAGGCTTTGCAACAGCCACTGCTTCTTCTCACTCTACCAATGGGATTAGTTCCAGATGTTGAACAGAGACTAGCCAGAGTATCTGGCATAAAATGGCAAAACAGCACTTAAAAGTTTGGCTTAGTACTTTTTACCAAATTATTCTCTCCATGAAGATACAATTTTGCTTTCCCTTATGCCTGACTCCTCAAGTCGGGTAACAGCACTCTTTAACAATTCAGAGATCATGTCTTTTCCTTACTACCAACACTTTCCATACTTTTAGTTGGGCTGCTTTGAACAAGGCAAAATTGCTTACCTAGAACTTAAATGTTGATGGCAGTTGCCAACAATTATTAATTTAATTTAATTTAATTTAATTTTTGTATTTCTTGCAGAAGTACAGAAGTGAGGCAAAGTTAAATAATCTCAATTTCTCTAACCTGGTTCCTTTGTGGGCAGGAGAAACTACAGTGAATGTATTGTGGTGCTAACAAAGGACATGGTGGTGTAGCTTATTACTTTGGACAAACCTTATTTAAGACACAAAAAAACCTATAAGCATTGACAAAGAGTAGTATTTCACAATCATTTAAAGTTTTAAGTTGGAATCTTTACATTGAAAAATCACCAAGGCTAGTCTACTTTCATGCAATGGTCATGAATGAGGTTAAAAATGTATTCCTCCAGCTCTTCACAGACCCCACTTGAGAAGGGCTCCATTGTTCTAAGGAACCTGATAGTCATTTGAAGAACCACAGTTAGAACAGCAACTTTCATGTAAGGATAATACTTACTTATTTTATTTATTTAGATATTCATTATGGTACTGGGATTTGAACTTGGGGCCAGGTGGTGGCTAGAGGGGTGTTCTACAATTCGAGCCACAGTCCCAGCTCCAGGAATAACAGTTTAGTAGATACCCTACAGGAAATTTTTGGTATAGTGTTAAATGTAAGAATGGACCTGTCTGGAGGTTTTCAACCTTATCAAAATATATGGAAATAAAAAAGTATAGTCCAACCTTCTACTCAGTCCATTTTGTTAATGACACAAAAGAGTAGAACATGTATGTTTGTCTTCGGCTTTGCTCTCTGGAGCAGATGGACTAAGGTAGACACTCCTTTTACCATATCAAAATGTTACTGAATTCTTACCTTTGGCTGCAGTGGTGGTGCACAGGGAGCTGAAACAGGATCTGTGATATAGGTCTTCTTGGGACCAGTGGCTGGATACATTCCAGATGGGTTCTGGTTCCCTGCTACAGGAAGACTATACCCAGGTTCCCGCTTCCAGGTATTGGGATGACCTTGTTGAGCATAGGCAGGATCCGAGTCATTTCTGCCCCCATAGCCAGGCCCTGCTGCATAATAGGGTTCATAATAGCGTCCTTGGTTGGGGGCATACCCATATCCAGGCTCAGGCTGAAGTCCTGGTGATGGAATATATGAGTAATCAGTGCCAGCCCGGGTTGGAGGAGGTGGACACTGTCCCGACATAGAAACTGGCTGAGTATTATAGCCATGGGGCCCTGGGTTGTACATCTGTCCTGATGAAGGGCCAGCCATATAATGCGGACTGGGCTGAGCTGACTTCACTTGCACATTGAAGGTGGGTCTTGATGGTGTAGATGCCGTGGTGTAGGAGGCTGGGACTGGCTGAGGCTGGGGCTTCAGTGTACCAATTGGAGTCACAGGGATGGGTGCAGCCTGGGGTGCAGGCTGTGGTTTCATTGTAGACTTTTTGGTTGCCGTTAGAGGAGGTTGGTTTGGAATGACCATTCTCTTGTGTCCTGTGACAGGAGTAGAGACTGGAGGAGAGGCTGTTGAACTAGTGGTGCCCTAAATTAGAAGAGAAAAAAATAATGTAAAGATTATTGTCAATGAAACCAAATAAAAATAAATAAATGAGCAAATATTAATTACTAATTATTTATATAGTCACATATAAGGTACAAATTAGGCATGGTCTTGCCTTCAAAGAATTCACAGACTAACACCAAAGTCAGTTGTATTTCTGTGCACAACCAATGAAAAAATGAAAAAAAATAATGAAACAAGTCAAATTAAAATAGTACTAAAAAGAGTACAACTCTTAAGAGCAAAGTTAATTAAGAGAGCGAAATATGTGCAGACTGAAAACCATAAAATAGCAATGAATGTAATTAAACAAGGTACCAACAAATAGAATGGCATCTGAGTTTATGGACTGGAAGGTTAATTATTGTTAAAATGTCCATACTACACAAAATGATCTTCAGATTCAATATAATTCCTATCAAAATCCCAATATTTGCAATAAAAATAAAAGAAATGACCTTAAAATTAATTTGTTATAACAAAAGACCATGAATAGCCAATCAATCCTGAGAAGGAACAATAAAAAGCTAGATGTACAATTACTGATTTAAAAATATATTACAAAGCTACAGTAATCAGAATAATGAGGTAGAGGCACAAAGACAGACATAGAAGCCAATGAAACAGAATAGAGAACTCAGATACACACACACACACACACACACTGACTGATTTTTCACAACAATGCCAATAACACACACTAGGAAAAGTATAATTTCTTCAACAAATAGTGCTGAGAAACCTGGATGTCCACAAGTAAAGGAATAAAATTGGACCCTTATCATCATGAACCTAAAATAGATTAACAATTTAAACACACAAAAGACTTAAGACCTAAAAGAAAAACATGTAGAAGTAAACTCTCAAAGCTTCATGACATCGGTCTTACCAAGACTCTCATGGATATGACACCAAAAGCAAAGAAAACAAGTGGAGCAATGTCAAACAAAAACACTCAGTACAGAGAAGTAAAAACCAACAGAATGAAAAGGCAAACCAAAAACCGGAGAAAATGCTTGCAAACCACGTAACCATGTATCCAATAAGAGGTTAATATGCAAAATAAATAAGACACATGTACAACTCAATAGTTCAAAAAATAAACATAAATTGGTTAAAAAATGAGCTAAGGATATGAATACATGCTATTTTCAAAAGACATACACAAATGGCCAAGTATAAAAACTGTTCAGGGTTACTAATCATGAGGAAATACAAATCAAAACCTCAACAGGATATCACATCATCATCGTCAGGAAACCTATTATTAACTCAAGCAAGCCAACCAAAAAAGACAAGTATTGGCCAGGAATGTTGGAATCCTTATACACTGTTGGTGGGAATGCAAAGTGATAAGCCAGTATACAAAACAGTATGGGGGTTCCTCAAAAAATTAAAAATAGGATTTGGCAATCTCGCTTATGGTATTTATCTAATACATTTGAAATAAGGATATCAGAGATACTATTAGTACTATGTTTGTTGTAGCACTATTCATAATACTCAAGTTGGAAGCAAGTTACATGCCTGTCAACAGATGAATGGACAGAGAAAAATGTGTCACGTGCATATAATGCAATACTACTCAAAAAGAAGGAAATTCGACAATATGCAACAATATGAACGTACCTTGAGGACACTGAAGTAGGAGAAATAAACCAGTCACAGAAAGGCAAATACTGCATGATTCTACTGTATGAAATGTCAAAATAATTAAATTCATAGAATTAAGGAATGGGTCTGAGTGGAAGATGAAATTGAGAGGTACTTACCAGTGGACATAAAATTTTAGTCAAGCAAGATAAACGAGCTCTGGAGGTCTGCTGTTCAATATTTTACCCATCATCAACAATAATGTATTGTGTACTTAAAATTTTATTGAAAGAGTAGCAAGACAGGAATGCATGCTATCTTGATGTCAGCAAAAGGGAAATTGAAGGACCACTCCAAGAAAGAGGAGATGCACAAAAGGTGCACCTTGTCTGTCCTTGTCTCACGACCACAGCAAACTCTCATTTGTACTATCTTCATGCATCAGTTCCTCTCTCACACTACGGGAGAGAGACAAGCTATCCATCATAGAGTACAACCCTCTCTCAGCTGAGCTCTCTGAGGTTAACATGTTGAAGGTGCTTGGAAAATGACAGGTGGAAAAATATCACATAAAGTGACAGTTACGGAGATTCAAGTATCAGAAAATTACATATATGTATTTATAGATGAGTGTAATATTTAAATGTGCTCACTTTTCAAAAAGAAAATGTTAAATCATGATAAAAATTTAAAAATCCTTACAAAAACAAAAATAAAATGAAGTGTCAAAAATATATGCTTGGAAAAACACCAAATCATTCAGTAAGTAGAAAAGATTCAACATGTGGATCTTTAGTCCAATTAATGAAATATGTAGACCAGGTAAGTGTTCTTTAACAGTGAATAACTTAAATAAATAGGCATTAAAATGATTTCTATTCCTTACCTCTTCCATGCCTGAGGTAAAATATGTAATACTCCAATGGGATATGTATGATATATACATGTATATTAGATACATATCATACATACATATATAGCAGTGCTATCTTACAGCACATAGTTTTGGTCTATAAAATAATCAGAAACATGCCAATACATACCACAAGAAAATTTACAATAGAGTTGAGGAAAATATTCCTATCGCCATGAAAGAATTCTATTAGGGAATATTTCCTAGATGCAAGCAATGGCTCCTGAGATAGTTCTTCAAGGCCTTTACCCAAAGACTTAGGAATGCTTGTGTGTGTTTGTTCACCAGGAAAGGAAGAGAAACTTGTAAAAGATTTATTTCTAAGTAATGAGGTCTACATTAATTCTTTACTTGAAAATGTGATTGGTTTTACTTTTCAAATTGTGTGTCTTTGAGTATCTGTTCTGGGACAGAGTTTAAAGCTGCAGTGGAAAGGATGCCTGTCTTTAGCCCAGTTGCTCAATCACTATCTCCATCGTTGGATTTATAGTGTTCAGATTATGAACTCTGGGGTTCTGCTGATGTTGAGTCATCAAAGAAAGCAAAGTTTTATCCATTCTTTCAATGAATCCAAGCTGACAGTTTTATGATGGAAATAGTTGACTAAGAAAACCTAACCTTAATTTTTTTCTAGGTTCAAATGGACTTTTCCATGCCCTCTGTTAGAGAATGACAGAATAACTATGTACTTGAAGAGAAGAGAAGAGAAGAGAAGAGAAGAGAAGAGAAGAGAAGAGAAGAGAAGAGAAGAGAAGAGAAGAGAAGAGAAGAGAAGAGAAGAGAAGAGATGGGAAAGGGAGGGAGAGGAGAAAGGGAGGAGGGAGAGAAGAAAGGAAACAAACTCTTCCACAGTTTCCTCTAATTTAACAGAGAACTAAATCAAGAATTTCTCTAGGAAACTATATTTGAGACTAATGATACATGGAAAAGATTGCTATAAGAGTCAGTATTGCAACAAAAACAATGATACACTCACTCTCAATCTTCTCAAGGAGTTGATTCCCTGAGGTGTAGAGACATCAATAGAGACTCAGTAATAATCTGGGGCTAGCACAGCCAGAGTTGGCATTCCTAGGTTAAAGAGGACCAGGACACAAAGCAGTTATTTGAACCTGGAAGAAGAAAGAAGAGAACCCTGAGAGGACTAGTGACCCTCCTTGGCAGGCAGACTATGAAGGACATAATCAGTAAGCCAGAGGAAGAAACATGGCACAAGAGGGTGTCAGTATCTCTCAAGGTGGCACTATTGTCAACTTTAGCTTGATAATAATGTGTTTTGCTGCCTACTTATCCAATGAGATAGTGCCCTTTAATCATCATGCTAACAAAAAAGCCCCTATTAATAACCAGTCTCCCCCTGATCAATAGGTAGTTTTCATTCTGATTGAGAATTATTGGAAATGACATGCTGATCAAATGTCCTGAGGAAATGTTTTGTCTGTATCTCTGGATCAATTTAGATCAACAGGAAGCTATATATCTATATCAAATTGAATTTTCTGTTATAGCAAATAAAGTAATTTTCTAATTTTTATGAGAAATTACTACTAATAACAGTAACCAACATTTATCAAACAGCCTGACAATATGATTTTCCAACAAAGGATTTCTTTTCTTCTATGTCTCCATTTGCTCCCTTCAGGGGCATGCCAACAACCTAATAGTTCTATTTCTGGATTCTGAATGATATGGCTGAATATTTAACTATACCATGCATCATGTACTTGGATGTCTCATATGCTTTTCAGACTCAACATATTAAAACTGTGCTCATTATCTTCCAAGAATCTGCTTTTGTTTGGTTTTCTGATCCACCCAGTTGCTGCTCAAATGAGAACACATGAAGTCATCACGGGAGAATGATTCTCCCATGCTTCGCATTCAAGCACTAAATCCTGCTGATCTTATTCTCTACATAGGAAATTTCCTAACTCAAATATGGCCACATCTCACCAGTTTCACTGCTGCAACCCAATTGCAAGATAACACCATTTTCACCAGTCATCCTTCAACAGTATCCAAATGGTGTCCTAGTGTCTACTTCTGTTTCCCTTCAGTGATTTCCTTATTCAACAGCTGGAGTGATTTCTCTCTAATTCTCATATAATCACAATACTTTCTTGTCTAAAAATCTTCAATAGGTTAGTTGACAATGGACTCAAATCTACTTCTCTTATCTCTCATCACTTTCATGTCCCTTTTTTCCATCGACCTTCATTCATTTGCCAAGGACTCTCATATCTCAGAAATTACATACAATGTACTTCCAAAATTCTCTGTGAATTTTGGGTCTAGTTAATTCCAAGAACTGGTAGCAAATTCCAAGGAAACACTGATATCTCAATCTGAGCACCAGGTTTCTAAATCAACCTTCTTGATTCTTCAGCACAGGAAGTATTCATTTCTTCACTCTTTCTGCATATATCACAATTGAACAGGTCTGTATTCATAGGGCTAGGGACTGTCCCTTTTGTTC